GTACCAGCACCTGCCCATCCCTACCTATGAGGAGGCCACTTCATCCCGTCCTACTTCCTCCCAATCCAGACTCGGTCCAGAAGAGATCAGTGACGATGCGGAGAGGCAAGGTCTTCTTGGGTCCTTGGGAAACTATCACCCCCCGACTGTCGAGTCTGCGCGACCGAGTCTCGATTCCCTCGACGGTATCGAGCAAGATGGCGAAGATGAGGTGCGCAGAGAGATGCAGCAGATGGATGTGGAAGACCCCCTGAGCGACTCCTCCTCCCATCGCTCCCTCCTTCGATACCGCCTCTCCAAGAGTTTCACCAACCTGACCAACTCGTTCTCCTCCTTAACCCTCCCCTCCTTTCGCCAGTACCTCTCCAAGATTTCATGGCCGCGAATAAACTATCAACAGTTCGATGCGAACCGCGTCGTCATCATTGGGCGACTGTTTGGTGTTTTCTTGATCATGGGTGTTCTTTATGTACTTATAGCGTCGGACGTTCTGTCATTTACAAAGAATCGCATGGGAATGGGCCAGATATACGACCCCGAGTCTATCAGAATATTTGTACAGAACCATATGAACGATCATGGAGATATGCAAAAGTATCTGGAGCACATAACGGACTTTCCCCATATCGCGGGGACCGAGGGCAATTATGTCCTGGGAGAATGGGTGGCCGAGCTATTCAAAGCAGGTGAATTGGAAGACGTGGAAATGGAGAGATACGAGGTTTATCTCAACTACCCGCGAAGAGACGGGAGAAGAGTGGCGATTGTCGAGCCGGACAGTATGAAATGGGAGGCTAAATTGGAAGAGGATCAAGAGGAGTCTCTGGTGTTTCATGGTCATTCGAAGTCGGGTGATGTGACGGGTCCACTGATATACGCCAACTTCGGGTCGAGGGAGGACTTCAAGACGCTCGAAGATAACAACATATCCGTCAAGGATGCCGTCGTCCTTGTTCGCTATTACGGCACACAAGGAGACCGGGCGCTGAAAGTCAAAGCCGCAGAACTCGCCGGCGCTGCGGGATGTATCATCTACTCTGATCCTGCCCAAGATGGCTACGTCCAGGGACCGACGTTTCCAGACGGGCGATTTATGCCGCAAGATGCTGTACAGCGGGGCGCTGTCAGCCTCATGTCCTGGGTTGTTGGCGATGTTCTCACTCCCGGATGGGCTTCAACGCCAGATAACAAGAAACATCTCAAACCCGAGGAGAGCGCCGGTCTCAACAAGATCCCGTCCATCCCCATCTCCTGGGAGGATGCGAAGCAGCTACTCGAGTCCCTCAAAGGACACGGCAGTCGGATGAAGGATGGCTGGCAAGGAGTTCCTGACTTTGAATACTGGACGGGGAATCAGGAGTCTCCGAAAGTCAACCTCAAGAATCTCCAGGATGAAGAGCAGAAGCAACCCATCTACAACGTGTTGGGCAAGATCACAGGTTGGGAACAGCCCGAGAAGAAGATAGTGGTGGGCAACCACCGCGATGCATGGTGCACAGGCGCCGCCGATCCCGGCAGCGGCACGGCCGTCATGCTCGAAGTCGTCCGGATCTTTGGTGAACTGCGTCGACTAGGTTGGCGGCCACTCCGCACAATCGAATTCGCCAGCTGGGACGGGGAGGAGTACAACCTGATCGGCAGCACCGAGTATGTCGAGAGTCGTGAAGACCAGTTGCGTGAAGATGGAATCGGCTACCTCAATGTCGATGTCGGAGTGACCGGTACCGATTTCCACGCCGCCGCTTCTCCCCTGTACGAACGGCCCCTTATGCACGTTATCAACCGCGTCAGTGATCCTTCCACTGGGAAATCTATCCGCGAACTCTGGGACGCCGATAGCCGAAGAATTGAAGGCCTCGGCGCAGGAAGCGACTTTGTTGCCTTTCAAGACATCGTTGGCACCTCATCGATTGACATGTTCTTCAAGGGAGCTAGATTCCCCTACCATTCTTGCTATGATAACTTCGAGTGGATGGCCAAGTTCGGTGACCCAGACTGGTCATATCATAAGACCATGGGTGAGATTTGGGCGCTCCTCATTCTGGAGTTGGCCGATAGGCCGCTCATTCCCTTCGACATCAGCGCCTACTCTAGGGCTATCGAGAGGTATATCGACGACCTGAAAGCGTATGCGGAGTCAGCACCTACAGCAGCCGACGCGAACACTCTCGATCTCTCCCCCTTGCGGAAGGCAGCGGAACTCCTTGCTCAGGAGGCCCTGCGCTTCCACACTTTCGACTCGGCCTGGCGTGACTTCATCTTCGGCTCCGGAGGTTTCGAATCGTCGACCATGGGCCTTGCTCGCTTGGATCACAACAATCGCCTCACGCGTTTTGAGACGGATCTTCTTGACCTGAGCGATGGTGGAGGACTGGCCAACCGAACACAGTTCAAACATGTCATATTTGCCCCGCAGCTGTGGAGTGGATATGACGATGCGACGTTCCCCAGTGTGAGAGATGCCATCAACGACGGAAACTGGGGTTTGGCGCAAGCCGAGGTCGAGAAAGTGGCGGGCATACTGGAAGTGGCAGCAGGAAAGCTGAACTCATAAGACCACTTGGGAAGAAAGAACAGGGAATCCGGATTTTATCGTCAAGGCTTGCTGCTCTGAAAGCACCAGGTGGTGGCAGGCAGGCACCGAACTACCGTGCGAATACTTGTCAGAGATGCCACGCAGGGGTTTTTCCTTCTTCTCCTGTTTTCATTTTTCGAAGCACGAAGACCAGGCGGGATGGGTTCGTGTTTTTATTGCTCCTGTTCTGCTCGGTGTCTATTGTGAGGAGGGCAGGACAAAAGGAAAGCATGGCGTACTGGGGCCAAAGGGAAGGGTGATTGATGAGCATGTCTCGAGAGGACGCTGTCACTGTTGTGTGAGCGTAAGTCTTTCAAGACGTGCAATGCAGGGAGACTAGAAGTGAGTGACGGGACAGACTCGTCCATGTATGTCCATGGGGGGTTTCTCCTATTGATACGTGGGTATTTGCCAGCTTTGCGATATTGAGTATATACATGTACCTCCCTTTTTTTCCTTCCACAGGCCCTTTCAGACTTCCTTCTTGAAACTCTTCGCCAGAGCCCAGAAGTTCTCCATCTTTGCTCTGCTCAACACGTCCCGAGCTTGTGCGTCTGTCTCACACACCCTGGCTCCCAGCCACCGCTTGAAATTGCGCTGTTTCTCCTCGCCCTTGAAGATCAACTCGCACTTGTTCAAGCTCAGATCTTTCAGTTCGCCATTCTCGTCCTCGGCCTCGAGCCACTTTGCCAGGGCTTCGCGGTTCCCTTCTGCCACAGACCGGGGTGCTTCCATCTCGGTCCATCGAATGCGGTTCTGCATCACCTTGTCGTAGTTCCGGATGCTGTGCTCGCCGCCTTCAACCACGACGAGGTTCATTTTCGGGTGCATGATGACGACGCCCGTGAGCCTATTCTGGTCCGCATTGACAGAGACTTGGTATCTGTGTTTGCCGTTGGCCAGCGAGTCGATCTTGTAAACGCGTATGTGGATCCCACGGGCGGCGTCTTCGGCTTGCTGCTTCGCTAGTTTTTCGGCGCGTTGTTCTTTCGATAATTTGCGTGACAGATTGTCTTCTTCGGCCTTCCTTGCTCGTTCTGCGATCTCCCTGTTCACGCGGGCCTCGACAGCCGTGGGATCTTTGACGGCTTCCTCACCGAGAACACGCATCAAGTTACTCTTTTTCACTTTGGGCGGAGGAGGTGGAACGAGGCCTAGTCGGATCTTGGCTTGCTCTTCCTTGAGATCAGCCATGCGTCGTTGACGGCGCAATTTGGCCTGTTCCTTGGACGTGAGATACATGGGTTTCGGTGCCGGATTGTTCTTCTCCTGCGGTGGCTCGATGAGAACAGGGTGCTGGATATAGACTGTGATGATGCTGTCCGGGGTATCGATCTTCAGATTTGCCGGATCGGAGATGGCATCATAGGATTTGCCATTAACAAGACCTTCGTCCCACCATTCCAGGTCAGGCGGGGCAGGGACAAGGAACGCTTTTTCGGTATCGAGATCCTCTTCCAACCCAGCCTGCCTCGCGCGCTCCGCAATCTTCTTCTTCATAGCTTCCAATTGCGCTTGTCGTCGGAGTGCCGCCGCTTGTTGCATGTATTTGCCCTTTTGGTTGAAGACCAGCTGTCTAGAATGCCGGGCTTTGGGTAGTACATTCCGCGAACCCAGATTCGGATCGAAATAAGGGTTCTCTTTGAGTTCATCCAACGAAGGCCCCGAGAGATCCAGCTGTGCCTTTTGTTGCAACGGGGCAGGAGATTCTGTTCTTCGATTTCCCATAGCAGTTGCAAACTTAGGCTGCGGCGCTCGCCCCTTGTTCCTCTGAGCGTCATGCTGGGTATCGACCAGCAAGTCAGGGTGTATACCAATGTTCAACCCTCCTCGTGCTTTGGACATATCGTCATTGTAGGCTGGCGCGGTGTAATTCGTTGATGGCCTTTGCTGAGTCTGGGTCGCTATTCGACCAGTTGCCGCCGCCACACGGGCCCTCATCTGGGCAATCCTGTCGGCTGCACTCAGAGGAGGGGTGGGGGACGCACTCGCTGCCATCGCGGGCGACGAGGTTGCTGCACCATTCTTCATGGCTGCCAGTTTCGCTTTCAGTTCGGCCGCCTTGGCCGCAGCCGCAGCCTTAGCACGAGCCACTATCGCATCGGCATCTGGCTTTGATCCCATCGGCGTAGAGGAGGCGGAGGCGGCTGCGGTTGTGGGACGAGGAGAGCCATTGTTGGATCTGGCACGTTTCTGGCTCTCGACTTCATCGTCTTCCGGGTGAAGCCTTTTCAGCACATTGCTCGCTCTGTCTGCCATTGCGAAGGTTGAAAGAGGAGGACTCACTGTGCGCAAGAGAATGAGGGCTCCTGCAGATGCTTCGAGCTCGCGTGAGGTGAGGTGAGGTGAGGCGCGAGAAGGATGAGTGGGTGATGTTATGATGGCAGGCTGGTTGCTTGAACAGTCGCGAGGGACCAACGCCAAGATGAGTAAAAACTACTCGCGCCTCATCCCGGATTCGGACGGGGGTGATGCCGCCCTACACTCACCTCGAGGCCCGCCCGGCTGGCACGAGTTGGGGTACCTGGGTAAGTTCTGATCTATGTCTCCTGGCGCGGGGGCCAGAGGTCTAAGCTTTAATCTGCTAGGTCCTCCATCAGGGCACAGCTACCCTAGTACCTAGCACCCACCTAGAGCTTAGGCTAAGTAGGTCTAACCGTTGTGGCATTTAATCTGCGACTTGTCTGGCCCTTTATTCACTCACTCGTACAACTTCGCTTCCTCGTCCCATCGACAGCCTGTAACTGATGGAAGTACCTCACCCAACGAAACGATTCCGCCCGAGAGTGCGGCCTGAAAAGCGAAGGCGGGTTGCATTGGCTTGCAGCCGATGCAGAAATCTAAAGAAGAAATGTCTCCCTGGTAGAGATGCGAGTTGCAGGAACTGTCACGACGCCAATGCATTTTGCGTCTTTGAGCCTGCGGCAGGCCAAACGGTCCGCACTGACGACCTCGGACGGGAAACTGATCACCTAGAGTCCGTCATGTCTTTCAGTGTAGTGATCGGATCGGCTAAGCTTTGGGTTATAGATCGAATGCGTTGGCCAGTATCGTGGACGCAGTGCACAGCGAGTGCCAGAACATCTATCCCGGTATCATCCTTGAGCCACAGCACCTAGCCACAATAGTATCCCTTATCCTCAACAAAAATAGCTCATCAGTAGGAGCCCCAATGTTGGTACATGGGCCAGCGTTCCGAGAACCGGCCAAGGTTGCTCTTGATAGCCCTCTTCAGAATGCACATCGGGAGCAGGAATGCCAGCCTCCACGATCGGCCCAGGTGCAAGAGCAAGGTGTGTGAGTAAGATTTTTGGCTTCTACTCTGCCCCTGGTGCTGTACGAGCCAAAGTATCTAACAAAAGCTTGTCAAGGCTATGAGGTATCCGGCTCGCACGACGGATTCTTTTCCAGTGTTGTAAAGGTCGTCTCGCACGATGGCGACCACTCCTTTCCCACGGGCCATACGGTGAGCACGAAGACCTCTCCACGTGTGCTCACTTCTCAGCCAAGTAACCTTGGGTAGCAGGCTTTCTATACATCCAAAATCTTGATGCCCGGAGACAACGCATCCGTGGTGGGAAATACGCTGTTGAGTCTTCCCACGGAGGCCGAGGCAGATTTTCATCTCTCGACCTTCTTTCTCTACTTGGAGAGTAATTGGTTTTATTTTGAGGAAACCTGGCTCAGAGAGGTCTTTTCTCTGGTTTTCCAAGCCAAGAGAGGGCAATGTCAGGTGGACGACACACTGCTGTGCCTGTCGCTAATGGTCATGGCGCTGGGCGCCTCGTTCAAGCATTTGCGTTCCTTGGACTCAAACATGGACCAGAACAGGCAAACACAGCAACATGATCATCCTTCAGACACCCTCCCTGGCGCCGAGTATTTCAATCAGGCCCAACGACTGATCCCGCAAGCCCTCCGACGACCCTCCTTGCTTAGCGTGCAGGTATGTCTTCTCACATCGATTTACGGTATGCCCTCGGACAACAGGGAGATGGGTTACACATACAGCGGCATGGCGTTGAGAATGTGCGTGGCCCTGTCTTTTCATAGAAAGGATGGCTCGCCCAATATATCAGAGAAGGCCCGGGAAGTGCAAAAGCGTGTGTTCTGGACAGTGTATTGTATTGAACGGTAGGGTTTCTCCCCGAAATTGAATGGTTGACATACTTATACTCCGACAGCCGAATCTCCATGGCTCTAGGATATCCGGAGATGCTTCAAACCACGGAGATATCCATCTCACTACCAACGCGCCTGGACGACATTGACCAGAGTTGTCCTACTCGAGTGGATCGTCTGACAGCTTTCACAGAGCTCACTCTGCTTCACAGCCTGGTAATTCGGAAGAGGTTGGTTTCAATAACAGGGCGCAGTGCCGTTTTTGCTTTTCTGACTGACAATCGGAGACAGACTGGATGGTTCGGATCTCATCGCCTTGAACGAGATTCGAACATTGCTTGAGCAGTGGAAGGATCGACTACCGCCGAGTATTTTGGACCATTCCAAAGCTCAGGTCCGGGCCACCCTGCACCTGGATATGATGTACCAGATGGTTTGGGTCGATCTAGGTCGACGGACCTTACTCGATCTCGTGAAAAACCATCTCAAGGGCCAGCACGGCGGCGTCCCGCATGGGAGAGAAACCGGAGAGCAAACGCCCGTCCAGCGAGAGTTATCGACCCGCTGCGTCGGGGCCGCTCTCAAGGTTCTGGAGGCCATTGCTACTCTTCACCGTCGGTCTCTACTTGCTCGGTTTTCTTACACGGACTTACATTCATGCATCTCCGCCACAGTCATCCTTCTCTTGGGAAGCATCCAGCACGAGGAGTCCGAGGAGCTTCCGTCATTTCAACATGCTATCGACCAGGGTATGGAAGCCTTGGATTTCCTGGCAGGAGGCGACAAAAATGCAGGACATGGGTATAAGCTCGTCCGACTTTTACAGAACACGGTAGCTCGCCTTCGAAGACGGGCGCATGCCCGGAGAGGTGGTCCTGGGATCTCATCTTCGACATTGGCGTCGCCGTTACCACCACGGCCAGGTGATGAAAGTGATGACCATCAGAACAAAGTCGATAGTGGACCTAGACCCTCTCCAGTGGAGGGAAGTGTGCATGACCCTGTCGAACTGCCGTGGTCAGGAGGCCTCGAGCCGCGGCCGGCAGCAGATCGTGCTCACCACTTTCCTCACTTAGGCCAAACGGCTCGGCCAGATAACTACGGCGGCCACCGGGAAGACCATCGAGGTTTGGACTTTGCCACTTGGGAGTCCCTGTCGGCGTACTACTCTGCCCAAGACTTGCAACTGTTTGGGTTTGATGGCTTTCAGATCTTCGGCGAGGGAGATTTGGTGGATGAATTCGGCACGAGCCCCCCAGACGATCGCGGCCAGGCTGGTTTCAGCACATGAGGGGGATCAAGGAATCATCTTTCCATCTCCCTTCACCAAGAGGCGGAAAGATAACATGGATCAAGGATATCAACGTGCCTTTTCTCAATTACGCCAGATTGAAAACGTCCTTCCCTCTCTCCCGACTCAACCCTTCTTCTTCTTCTTCTGCTTCTTCTTCTTCTCCTCCTCCTCCCCCTCCGCCGCATCTTCTTAATCTCACAGGACTGGAACTGCGATAATGGATAGAGGATAATTAGCCACACGTAGCAGCTCGAGTAACGCGAAATCTGATCAAGAATTATCTATACCGTTTGCCCCTCAAATCTTCACCACGTGTACTCCAAGTTTGACGACACCAGCAAAGCACGAACGACTTCAAGGCTCCAGCCGTCGACTCATCGGCATTACTCAGGCGAGTTTCTTTTTGATCAACAACATTGGGCCAGTCGAAAGCTAGATAGACAAACGACTCATCTTCCACTCGACTCAGAGAATTGCGCCCGGCTATCTTCGGTCGACGTCCGTCCATGCTCGATTCAGGCTTTTCAATAAGTGTACCTGAAGGTCGGGTCACCCTTGTCAGTGACCTCCCTGCCATCGGTGTAAACCACAGAGACCCCGCCCAAATTCGCCTTTTTCCTGTTGTCCCAATAGCAACTGTACCAGTATCCAATGACCGCCAGAACGAAGACAATCCAGCTGACAAGTGCCAGGATGAGACCCTGTTGGTATCGGGGCGCATAGTTCGAGTCCCACAGGAGTGGGCCGATGACGGCGCCAGCCGCGTACCCGATGAAAAATAAGGCATTGACGACGGCCTTTTTGGTATTTCCTCGCACGTTGGATGCGCTGAGGCTCAGAACCAGACTGAATATGTTTGAGATGACGGAGGCCTGCGAAGGGAGGAGTCTAGATAAGTGTTCACGTCCACAAAAAAAGAGAGACAGAGGGGGAAGATGGTCCGAGGGGATTCATACCAGCCATGATGCAACGATCATCCCCCATCCTGCCGTCAGAGGGAGGGTGAAAAGCAAAATGATGCCCGTCAGGGGAATCATGACGAGCCCCACGATGATGCAGCACCGTCGGTTGGGCCAGATGAAGCACAAGGCAATGCCGACCCAGATGAAGAAAATCTGGACGGCGCCGGAAGGAGAGGTGTAGAGCATGGTCTCGTATTTGTCGTAGCCGAGAGAGTTGATGATCAAGGAGGCAAACTAAAGCATGGTTCGACGGTCAAAAAGCGTGCGTTGAAGATCTTTCTCTCCTTCAGGCAGATCAAAGAATGGCGGGGACTCACCACAAGGACAGGAGCGGGAAGGGTGATAAGAATGCCGAATCCCAGATTGAGCCAGGTGCGGACCTGCAAGAGAGCCTCCTTGAGCTGGCCAGGAGCAAAGTTGGTCCGGTCACCTCCCTCACTCTCAAGCTGGAGTCGTTTCTTCGCGGCGATGCGTTCGGCTGGCGTGAGAAACCAGGCAGATTCCGGACCACTGGGCATGGCCAGGGTGAACAGAATACCCGCGAAGATTGTAATGGCACCGCAGACGAGGAACATAATTCTCCAGGCAGCAATAGCGGTTGGGTTTTTGCCGATGCCGTACATCATCAATGCACCCAAGACCTGGGCCAGGCCATTGCAGCTAATCCAGATACTGTGCACGGAAAGAAGGGTGTCAGCTGTGCCTCGATTTTTTCCGGGTCGGCTGTATTAAGATGGGAGCTCACCCGATCCGCATAGGATGTTCTCTCTTCTTGTACCAAATACTCGTCAAGGTGACGAACGCAGGCTGGACAGCTCCCTCGGCAAAGCCCAGGATGAACCTCACACCCATCATCGAAGAGAAAGAATTGCAAGCGGCCAAACACTAGCGGCAGTTTGAATTAGATTTGGCCTCCGCGTAGACCCTACAGGGGCAGTAAAAGGGAGTGTAGGTGGCTGACCATGCAAATGATGCCCCAGATGATCCTGTTCAATGTAGTCAGCAAGCCGGCTCTCCTTGGGTTGGTAAGAGGCGTGTGCCGGAAGCCACTTACACTGTAACTCCGACAAATCTAGCCAGAGGCAGTCGACTCATCAGATAGATAAAGGGAAACTCTGAGAGCAGCTGGCCCAAGTAAAAGATGGAGCTCAGCCATGAGTATTGTCTACCATGCAGATCAAGGTCGGTGACCAGACCAAAGACCGCGGCATAGCTCAAGCTTTGTTTGTCGACGTCTGATCCATATTGGTCCGATGATTTTATATTGGAAAACATGTTTGGTATACATACACTGAGAAAAAAACACGAGCGCCATCTGTAGCATTCAGTCAGATTTTGGGATATTGAATACGTTGATGGGGAAACGTCGCCACAAGAAAACAACAAAAGACAGGACTCACAAGAGGCAAGATCACTCTGTCAATCTTGTTGCGCAGCCGTCTCTCTTCTGCTTCGTTTGGTGGAGGGTCCTGCACCAAGAGGTCGAATTGCTCCTCTTTGGTGGAGGGTCCTGTGGTGGCAGTGGTGGTGAGAGCATTGTTCTTGTCATTTTGTTGGGCCGGGGTGGTGTCGTCCATCTTTCGAAATGTCAAGTTGGGGGTCTGTTCGAAAGAATGAGAACGGATGAATCTTGAGCTCACAACAAATGCCTCGTGGAGGAGAGGGCAGATAAATACTAATGGAAACTGTCGGCTCGTAGCTTCCTGTTGGGTGTCGGTCGAGACGCTTCCAAGATCCACGATGAAGCCCCTCATCCTCAGTGTAGATATCCGACTAGTACTGAGCCCCTTGCGAAGCATGTACCGAAAACCTCATGTGCCATAAACCCGTGACGGGCTCGCTATCAGGACGGTGATCGGGAAGCAAGATACAACTTGCGCTGCAAAGATAACACTCGGGTCAGGAACCGATGCGGACTCGGCAAGGACCAGCAAAATCATTAGTCTCATCACTCGATTTCGCTGTTTCTTTGTTAATCTGGGGTGCCATGTAGGTGTTGCAAAGCAATCAGGAACTTGTGGTGGTGCAATGTTCTTTGGTGCTTCTCCACCAGATCCACTTCGAAGTCGGGTGCGTGTACCCCACCAATCACCATCAGATTTCCGCATGTGTCTCGCCCCACTCCATCTCACGCGATACGGCTTGATAGAGAATGCGGGAAGGTTGCGAGAGAGGGAGAACCATGGAGATGAAAGTGGCACCGAAAGTCGGAGCCCCTTCCTTGCCTGGGGTGAATTTCGTGCCTTCAGTCCTGTGAGGAGAGCGCTCTCGTCAGATTCCCCCTTTTATATATCACTGGGCGACTGACCACTACATGCATTCGTTTCCACCTCACCTCCGTCAGATCAAAAGGCGGCAATAAAGTCGACTGATCTCCGGGTAAAATGGTGCAAGAGATGGATCTTCAGAAGCTGGACATGGAATTGGCGATCAAGCCATGGACAGCACTGCCCCAAGAGGCATATGTCTTGACCGGAGCGAATCTGATAGATCCTCTGCAGGGCCAGGTGATCAAGAACGCAACAATCCGAATTGAGGGAGGACTTGTCACCGAAGTTTCAGAGCAAGAACACACTCGACCGACGACGAATGATGGGACCACGGTGATCGACGCTAGGGGCAAATACATCTTGCCGGGCCTCATCGATTGCCACGTCCACATAATGGCGGTGGCTGGGAACGCCGGAATGAATGAGACATTCCACATGGACCACAGCACCTCCCTGCTCCGACAGCCAAGTCTATGTCAGGGAATGTTGGATCGGGGCTTCACCAGCGTCCGGGACTGCGCTGGAGCCACGCCAGCTATGAGACAGGCGATCGAGGACGGCGTGCACCCGGGCCCAAGACTCTTCATTGCTGGCAAGGGATTGTCCCAAACGGGAGGTCACGGAGACTTACGCAAGGCACATGATTCGAGGGGGATCTGCTGCGCCTGTGGCGCCGGAGGTCACGACATGACCCGGGTCGTGGACGGCGTTCCAGACTGCCTCAAATATGCTCGTGAAGAGCTTCGGCGCGGGGCCGATTTTATCAAAATCATGAGCGGCGGAGGAGTCGCCAGCCCGACGGATCGCATTGACCAGGTCCAGTTCTCCGACGAAGAGATCAAGGCCATTGTCACCGTTGCCACCAATGCCCGCACATATGTCACCTCCCACGCCTACACGCCTCAGGCCATTCAACAGGCCATCTCACACGGGGTTCGCGGAATCGAGCACGGGAATCTCCTAGATGAGGAAACCGCGCGTCTCATGGCCAGTAAGGGTGTTTTCCTGACTCCCACGCTCGTGGTTTATGCCACCATGGCAAGGCCAGAGTTCTCAGGCTTCCTCCCTCCCTTTTCAGCTCAAAAAAATCGCGAAGTGCTCGAGTCTGGCTTGCGAGCGTTGAAAATCGCGACGGATGCTGGGGTAACGATCTGCTTCGGCACCGATCTCCTGGGTCCAATGCATCCTGCTCAGACAAACGAGTTCGTGATCCGCAGCCAGGTGCAAACACCGCTACAGATCATCCAGAGTGCCACGGTCAATGCGGCAAGACTCATCCAGAGAGAAGAGACCCTCGGCCGCATTGCTCCCGGCTTCTTGGCCGATTTTTTGATCTTGAATGCTAATCCACTCGAGGATATTGCGGTCCTCGATCGGCCTGACCAGCACCTGTTGGCGACCATCAAGGACGGGAGGGTGGTGTCGTCGCGGTGGTCCCGCCTTGAGGTTAAACAGCGGAGATTGAGTAATATTGCATAAGCGGCTCGGAATAAGGCCTCGTCTATGTAACGGGTTGATGTGCCTGTACTTACTGTCGTCGTGATCAAGAACTTTCCCCGATGTCTACCCAAAGAGTCTAGATGTAGATAGACGCCGACCAGGTACGGATTAAGAGCTCTTCCTTAGTATTCCGCTGCAGCCTCATAGGCCTGGACACTTTCGGCGGCAGCCGCCATAGTGTAGAGTAGATTGCCATATCTCGAATGAAGATAAGGTGACTTGTGCAGGCAATGCAGGGAGACAAAGAGAGGACACTTTGTCTCAAGCAACTCGAATTCTCGGTGAGGCACCAATACTGCCGCCCAGCACGTCCATTGCCATTAGGGAATGGTGCAATGATACTGTCTGGAACGTCCTGACAGGTTATCCTTATCTGCTATAGTGCCTAATAATCAGCCACAACCGGCGCGATATTCCGTCTTTTTGCAAGGGATTGAGGCACTATTCCTGACAGATACCATTCGGCGGTCCCAACGTCGGCTCACGACGTAGTCTTGCCGTCTGTCACTCATCTCCCCCCGCATGTATCGGTCGACCCGAATTTCTATCGACCTTTCGGTCCGTTCTATGCAAATCTGCAAACAGTCCTCCTGATGGTCTGAAGAGAATACTCACCCAGCATGAATGATCAAGTGTCTCAACCGGTAGTTCGTCGCGTCCCTGCCGCGTAAGTCTATCCCGTATAGCTTATGCGTCGAATCATTTTCGAGATGCTGACTGCTCTGTAACACACAGCTGTTCCTTTTGCCGACACAGCAAATTGAAATGCTCGGGCACGCAGCCTTGTGATCGATGCAAAAAGAGATCCAGAGAATGCGTCTTTACATCCGCAGAGAGGCAGGACAGTCATGATGAACGGTCATGTTTTGACCTCTTCTTCCAACTGCATGTTACCTGACTTGACAGTAGGCCTTCACCGCCGCCACGGAAACGAGCACGTCTCCATCATTCAACCTCACCTCCCGCAAGGAGTACTCAGCGTGTGTCCCAAAATGAGTTGCTACCCTCTCCTCGTCGCGCTGTAGAGACGTCCGTCGACTTTACCGAAGGTCGGAATCCCAGTGCCATCTCTCCGCAGTTCCTGCCAAACAGGCTGAATCAGCGGAAACGCTGGCGTAAGACACCACTTGATTTGGTTTTGGGAGAGCGTGACTTCAGAAGTGTGCTGTTTGCTGACCGGGACTGTGCAGTATACGTGGGTGCATGCTCGACATGGTCCTTCAACATCCGTGTGGCGACCATGATCAGGTCGAGCCTCAAAGACGGCGGTGAAATTGAGGACGATCCATTCTCCTTGGATGGCAACGCCTACGATCTTTCCTTGAAGAGAGTAAACTCGGACATGACGCTTGATCTGAGCCGACTGCCATCACTCGATTATGCCATCTACCTCGTTAATACGGTCAACTTCCACCTGGGCGGAATTCTTAGGTTGTTCGACGAGTACGAATTTCTGCAAAATCTCCATGAATTCTATAATCAAGGTTCGCAGAAGGCTCGTGCACACAAACTCTGGTACATCCAATGTCTCCTTCTCCTCGCACTGGGGAAAGGCTTCCTCAACGTTCGAAATTCGCCAGACAACACATCATCAACGGATTACTTCGTCCGTGCGATGTCTATCCTTCCAGACACTACGGAGCTCTATGAAGAGCCCGTTCTGGCCGTCGAAGTACTTGCCACCGTTGCCTTGTACTTTTACTGTTTGGATATGAAACAGAGCGCTTATTCCTATGTTGGTTATCCCCGCTGAAGGCACCGTCTTCAGAAATTCTCTTGGACTAACTATCGCTCGACATGGTTTCAGATTGGACAAGCTCTACGAATAGCTCTGGTGGAGGGACTGCACGCCGAATTGCCCCCTCTCCAGCTGGGGGATCGTTTCACCGAAAGGTGTCGGAACGCTTGGTGGACAACCTACATCCTAGACCGTACCTTGTCTGCAGCGGTTGGGGCGCCTATTTCCGCCCAAGATAACCACATTCAGCAGTCTCTCCCTTCGCCTCAGCAAGTCTCGCAACGCGACGCCACCTTAGTCATGCACGTCAAGTTGTGTCGCATGGTATCATCCATTTTAACGGGTGAGTTCAGCCTGACCCGCATCGTCCCCCGGTACTCGTTCCTTACAGATAGTAGAGCTGTACACTGCGAATGGAAGCCTAGAGAATACATATCTCTCAAAGGTCAGATCGGTTCTGAAGCAGATGGCCGATATTGCGAAACAACTCGAGGAAGTTATAAATTTCAAGTTTAAGAGTTCTCTGGAAACGCTTTCCAAAGGAGCACTGTATTTGAGAATGCTTTACAATCAGGTTCGCCAATTTTGCGCGGTGCAACTGGACTCAGCTAACACCCTTCTCAGTGTATCGTCCTGGCCACTAGACCATTATTACTCTGTCTCCTTCAGGAGACGCTACAGTCCCTCCGTCCCGGCTCCAATGGTGTGAAGGTCTATATTCCACCTTCAATACGCGATCTGTTGAAAACATGCTCAGATTCTGCCACCAAAACGCTCAAGATGCTCAGCGCCTTGAGCAGCCACAGTTTCCTTGGTACATAGACTTGACAGTGGCTCCCTCAAAGCAGAGTTTCAAAAAGGCTAATCAACGACTGCAGACACATTTCTTCCCTTCGATTTGGAATTTGCTTGTTCGGCATCATCCGTGGTCACGATGGTTGACGAAATTCTTCGAGGTGCATCAATATCCTCATCCACCAAAGATCTGCGCCACAAGATTCTTGATGAGATTGCAGCAGGAGGAAACAAAGCTGCCCCGTACCGACAAAGAGAGCTACGGAGGCTCTCAGAGCTAGCCGACCGTCTGTGGAACACCATCGATGCATTGAATGCCCAGAATCGCAGCCCAGGAACGGCAGCATCAGACCACGAAGTGAATCAGGTTCATCAACAACGACATAATCCCGGCGTACAATCAGAGGATCACCAGCTTGGACTTGATTCTCGAGCGGGTGACGATGGAGCGGCGATGGCCGAACTGCCTGGCAATGGTCTTGAACAACCTCTGGTCCTGCTTGAGGAGCAAGCCATTGCGATCCCTCCGGGGGCTTCAGTTTCATCTTCTGACTTTGCTCAAACCTTTGATTTCTCGCCCGAGCAGATGCTTCTTCTGGCAGATCATCTGGACGTAAATGCACTGCAAACTGGGTTTGATTTTGCCAGCCACGGGTTCAATGAGTGGATCTGAACGATCTACTATGATTGGATTTTCGTTGCGAGATGTAACCCCCGATTGTTGATCGATAGCAGTGTAAAAGAAGGCCGTCAATTGCGGAACCGATTTTTGATAAGTAGTATCTCCGTGCGGACGTGGCAATGACAATCGTGGCTTCGCAAGGATCGGCTGGCGAAGCGTCTGGGAACCTAATTGAGCCCATGCGCGAGCCGATAGACTCAGACATCGGATGACACACCGTGCAATCTTGCCGAACCAGATGATCCGACTGAGATATGCAGACCCCCGATATCCCGGGTCATTGTCTCCAGATACCTCGATAGATATTATCGGGAGTGATTTCGAATCCAACCTTGGCCCTTGGTCCTCTATCTGGATCCTCGGTAGAGGCGAGACGATGAAAGCTTGCCTCTTCCTTTCAGCCCCTTCCGATCATGGAAACAGGTAGTCGGAAAAGACAGCGGCAGGTGAGCCACTTACCGACTCGCTGTAAGCCCTCGAGCACCTGCTCGGGTGCTTCGAATTAGCACGGGAAGAAGACGGTCTCAGTCGGTCAAATATTGTCGTTATGCTACCTATACCCTTGCCCTCTGTGCCAGCTATTCTGCGTTAAAGGGCCAGGTCTTTCTCCAGGATATCCCACCCAGCTCACTGGTCACTATGGCAGCGGAGTCAGCCGTGGTTCGGAGATTCACCGCTCAATCGGGAGCATTGCGACGGTTCTCTTGCAAACGGGCATCGATTTCTACCACTGCGGACAAGTTGAAATCCCCCGAAGATGGCGACTACCATTTACAGGTGGCTGGAGAGCAACGATCGGGCACTGAGACTCCAGGACCTTTCTCAAGACTGTCGTCTGCATCACTCGTCCGGAGCATCATGATAGGAAGGATATTTCAGTTCCCGATTTTATACAAACCTTCGCTAGCCTTGCTCCAGAAAGTCTCCGGTTCCCGATCGGTATTTCTGAACGCGGACAAAAACCCACTGATCCGCGCGATGGTTCTGCCACTCATCTACAGACAATTCTGCGCTGGGCGAAACGAAGCCGAAGTGCAGCGGACGATCGAGCAGATCAAGAACATGGGGTATGCGGGGATCATACTGTGCTATGCGAAGGAGGTGATGGCCAAGTCTGGTCATCAAGCGGCGGACGAGTTGGAATCCACGGTGGCGCGCAGCGATAGGACGAGGCAGGAGGTAGAAGATTGGAAACAAGTCAACCTAAAAACACTGAACGCCGTCGGCGAAGGAGATTACATCGGCGTCAAGTAAGTTCCCCAACCATTTCCTCGACGAGTCGTCGCATCTAACCTCCGGCGTGCGCAAAAGATTGACGGGAGCTGGCGGGGGAGTGGCCCAGCAGCTGAAAGACGGGGGTCCTCCATCACCGGAAGTGAGGGAAGCATTGAGAGAAATATGCCGCCAGGCGAAATCGCAGGGTAAACGCCTCTGGATTGATGCCGAACAGCAAGTCTACCATCCGGCTATCGATAATTGGACCATCGACCTAATGCGCGAGTTCAACCGGGAGAACTCGATGGTGGTAATGACCACCATACAAGCCTACCTCAAGTCATCCCGGCAGACGGTCGAGCGGTATCTGCGCCTGGCTCAGAAGGAAGGCTGGTCGCTGGGCATCAAGCTCGTCCGTGGAGCTTACATTGGCAGCGACAACCGGAGTAAGATTCACGACACCAAGCGTGAGACAGACGAGTGCTACGACAGCATCGCGCATGATATCATCACCAAGTCGTGGCCGGGCTTCGAAAGTGGTAGCCGTGGCGCTGGTATTGCTGCTGCTGATGCTTCTGGATTTCCTCACGTCAGGATATTCCTGGCGGGCCACAATTCCGAGTCGATTCGAAAGGCCTCGAGCCTGGTCCGCCGGCTCTCCCAAACGGGAGATCTCGCAAACGAAGTACACTACGGCCAGCTACAAGGCATGGCGGATGACATTGGTTGCGAGCTACTTGCCCAAGCAGACCATCAACGAGAAGTACTGAAGGCGCTCAACCCGTCATCATCGGCCGCCTCGAGTCCTTCACAAATACATCAACATGACGCTCGGCACAGGCTCGCCGAGCTCGGGATCCCACGTGTGTACAAGTGTCTCTCATGGGGCTCGGTCCAGGACTGCCTGTACTACCTTGTTCGTCGAGCGATCGAGAACCAAGGTGCGGCGGAAAGGATGAAGTCTTCACTAAATGAGATGCAGGCTGAGTTGCGAAGGCGGTTCTTTGGATTGTTCAGGCGTGGAAAATGAAAGAGATGAGGGTGAACAGATAATGATTCAATTCGAGCAAGATTGCAATACAACTTGAAGTCCTTGTAGAGACCTAAAATGTAATCGTGAGATTCCTCATCACATAACACGCAGACAGCAGGTCTTTAGGTTATGCGAAGTCCTGACCTACACCTCATTGGAAGGATACAAAACTTGCGACAATGAGCCAAACTCCTCCTTGATGGTCCTCACGCTCGTAAACCGCTGAAGGTGAGCCATGGTTCCCGTTTTATCATTGGTGCCACTATCCCGGCTACCGCCAAAGGGCTGCTGCGCCACCACGGAGCCGGTGCATTTGGTGTTGAGGTACAGCATACCGGCCGCGTGTTTGAGGATCTCTTGAGCCTGTCGCAAGGCGATCGGGTCTCGGGCAAAGATGGCCCCAGTGAGTGCGTAAGTCGAGGTTCCATCGAGTAGTCCCAGCGTCTCCTGCCACTTGTCGTCGTCGTACACGTACACGGCCAGGATGGGACCGAATAGCTCGCGGACCATGATGTCGTGCTTCGGATTCCTCGTCCGATAGACGGTGGGGTGCACGTAGTAGCCGACTTCCTTGGACGCCTGGCCGCCGGCGACGAGTTCAAGTTCGGGGTCGGACTTTGCCGATTCGATCACCTCGTTGAGCTTGTCGAACGACCGCTCGTGGATGACCGGGTTGATGAAGTTCTCAAAGTTCTCCGGGTCCCCGACCTGAAGAAGCGCCGTCTGTTCCTGGAGCTGTCGTCGGAAGTCCGGCCAGACAGACTTGGCCACGTAGAGGCGCGAGAGGGCCGAACATTTTTGACCTTGGTACTCGAACGCCGACCGGACAGTGTTGCACACCGCGCTCCCAATGTCCGCCGATGCATGAACGATGGTCCAGTTCTTGCCGCCGGTCTCGCCGACCACGCGAGGGTAGCTCGCGAAGACCCCGTCGCCAATAGCATTGCCAATCTTCCTCTGTAGGCCCTTGAACACGGCCGTGGAGCCAATGTACGAGAGACCCGCGAACTCGCGGCGCGCGAGGACCGTATCTGTTATGGTCTCGGCATCACCCGGCACAAACTGTATCACATCCTGGGGTAGACCTGCTTCAAGGAGTATCTTGTGCAGAAGCCAGGCCGAGTGGAGGGCAGAAGGTGACGGTTTCCAAATGACCACATTCCCGAGTAGCGCAGCGGGTCCGACAAGCGTGGCCCCGAGCGCTGTAAAGTTGAAGGGCGCAATCGCGTACACGAAGCCTTCGAGCGGCCGATACTCGAGCTTGTTCCATGTGCCGGACGGGTGAACCTGGGGCTGTTGACCAAAGAGGGCCCAACATTCTTGGATGTAGTAACGGAAGAAGTCACACGTCTCGGCGGCGGCGTCGATTTCTGACTGCCAGATATTCTTGCCCTGGCCCAACATGGTCGTGGCAACGACCTCGGCGCGGTATTTGGTCGAAATGAGTTCGCAAGCCCGTAAGAAGATCGAGGCCCGGTCTTCGAATGGCATGTTTTCCCACGCCGATTTGGCTCTCAGAGCAGCGTCGATGGCAGCGTTGACATTCTGCGGCGTTGCTGAAGCATACTCGGCCACTGCCTCACCATGTCGTGAAGGGTTGATTTGCTTGGTGCTTGTGTCAGAGTTGATCTGGATGGTCGTAGACCAATGGTCGTCAGTGGCGCGACGTCTCTGTGGCTTTTCTGGGAGGCATGCACATAGCCTTTCAAATAGGTACCACCGATATAAGATGGCGGTCGCTCAGTGTTTAGACTTACAGTAACACCATTTACAACCAGAGGAATCTTTGCTGGCTGCTGCTGCTTGGCTCTTTGAAGCGCGGCAACCAGCTCTGCTCTTTCCGGGGAGCCTTTTGCGTAGTCTTTCTGTCATGGAACAACCAAATTGTGAGTATTCAGAGGAACGCTCTTGTGTTTCGAAGCAAAGTTCCCGACATACCGTGGGTTCATTTTCGAACCTGGGAGGGTTCCACATTGACATGTTGCGAATATGTCGGAGACAGGGCCTGGATCTGTTCAATACGGCAGGGTGGCCTCGTCTCAAAAGATTGCTTGACCGCATTGGAGCTGTGCAAGGCTGCGTGAAGGGAATCTGGTCTGGAGGAGAGGAGGAAATCTGTATAGCAGAAGCGACGGCCCTTTGTCGAACAGGGACAGATTTGCGATCAAGAGTCAAAGTAGCTCATTCAAGAAGGACTAGCTCCCGCTGCACATACGTATCTATGGAGCATTTTAATCAGCGAGGCTGTGAACAGTCTCCGATAGTCATGCGCTGCGTTATGCAATAGACGATGGCGGTCTCTGAGCCGATCCGATACGGACCGACTGAAACACAAGCGCCGCTGCTTGGGCGGTCTCCTAGCAGCCACGATTCTTTCCCAGAGGGCTCGATACCCTTGTCAGAAATTGATTCTCCCGTGTCTCGGGCGCCTAACACGTCTACCATAGGTATCTTGGGACTTGTTCTCTATACTTTTTGAACGCCGGGTATCAGATGCCGAGATATATGTGTGACTATTCTAGTAACATCCGGACTGGGTCCTCCAGGTAGTCTCTGAGCTTGACCAGGAATCCCACCGATTCACGGCCGTCAATTAGTCGGTGATCATACGTGAGTGCAAGATACATCATCTGTCGATAAGTCAGACATCGGCACAATGACGGAACGTCAGTGGTGTAGGCAGGCTTACAGGTCGAATCTCAACCTTCCCGTCGATAGCCACAGGCCTTTCTTTGATGGCATTGACACCCAGTACTGCCGTCTGAGGCAGATTGATGATAGGAGTGCCCATCATTGACCCGAAAACGCCTCCATTGCTGATGGTGAAGTTGCCGCCTGCCAGGTCGTCCATGGTAATCCGACCGTTTCGAGCCTATGATTATGATGATCATCTTCAGTATCTGGTGATCAACGATCCCATCTGGATGGGGAGAGAGAAGAGTGATAGGCGATGGGTTGGCCTACCTTTTGCGTATAGTTTGCGATTGCCCGCTCAATCTCCACCACACTCAGTCTCTCACAGTTACGCACAACTGGCGTCACGAGACCTTTGGGGGTGGATACTGCGACGCTGATGTCGACATAGTCCCTGTAGGTCACCATAGCGTCACCCTGTTCGTCCGTTTCGATGGACGCGTTAACCTGGGGAAACGCCTTCAGGGCCAATGTTGCGGCTTTGGTAAAAGCACCCATGAAACCGATCTTGACACCATGCGATTCAAGGATCTCATCCTTGTATTTGCGCCTCAATTTCACCAGGGCAGACACGTCGACTTCGTTGAAAGTGGTTAGTGATGCCGCCGTATTCTGGGACTGCTTCAGACGGTCTGCTATGGTCATCCTCATTCGACTCATTTTAACCTGCAAGTAGTCAATTGGTTGCCAGGCCATATCGTACGATCTTTCCCTTGTAGCTTACGCTTCTTTTACCGCGGTCGCCAGGCATGAAGGAAGCGGCTGTCGAGCCAGCAGGGTTTAGCTCAGGCTCCACGTTGGTGAGCTTCCGTGGTGTAGGTGTAGAAGTCGCTAATTTTGGTTCTTCGATGGGGTCAATGGGCTGGTGAGACGGTTTTGTCAGTTCAGGCGCAACAGTCTCTCCAGTCAAAGCCTCTGAAATCCCCAAAACATCCCCTGGTCGTGCTGATGTGTCTTCCTTCGAAAGTGGTCGTTCCAGGTCAATCTCAATCCGGGCGATTTGTTCTCCGACAGTGACCGTGCTTCCTTCGTTCACAAAGATCTCTTGGAGGATTCCAGCTTCTGGAGCAAGTACCGAAACGTCAATCTTGTCGGTTTCGATGGTGGCAATTTCTTCGTCCACCTCAACGAAGTCCCCGACCTTCTTCAACATCGCACTCAGCGTGCCTTCAGAGATAGATTCGGCCATGGTAGGAACCTTGACCACCGCCGCAGCCTGCAGCTGAACAGTGACAGAGAAGTTTCGTCGTTCGAATGGTGCCCGCGGTCGTGTGCATCCCCATGGTGGTCGTTGAAGGCCCCATGTTCCCAGCCAGCCAAAATTGCAACACGAATGCCCTTTCGCCCATGCTGCCCAGTAGTAGGACGGCTTCATGATACGCCCCAGTGTGGATTCTGCTGGCATCGTGTTCGGTGACTTGTAGAACTTCATTGGCAATTCCACGCCAGATTCCTCCCTCTCAAGTCGACGCCTTGCCTGTGCTTCATAGATGCGGTAGGAGTACCGTCTCGAGATCGGCCTCCCGGCAGCATCACCTTTAGCTCATGTGAGTGACATTCCCGGAGCATTGTACTTCTTAGCCTAGTGTGGGGACATCGATGATTGTGATAGTGTCCGGTGGCTAGGCAAGTTGGCGATGGTCCCATCTCGTAATCGGGAGAAAATCTGAGAACTTGACTAGAACAAGTCTGCCCCTTTCTCTGGTTCTGGATATGGTAATCTGCCAGGGATACAGTGTGGTCCGCAATGGTCCAAGCTTCGATCCGATCTCTCGGCACGATATATATCGGGAACAGCCACACCGGGCCCCCACCAACATCGGCCCGATAATTTTTGGGCGTGTTGAGCTACAACTTTCACTATCGCGTGGTGATGTACTATTGCCTCGGAATCTGGGCAAGATGAGCACTCGGTTCTTCTATGGCCGCACCTCCCTGGAGAACAGCATCCAGTAATGACACGCCAGGCAGGGCATACGAGGCAAGACACTCCCAGTATGTGCCTACCGAGACCAACCGCCTATTGATAGATGATGGACAAGATCAAAGCCTTGCATGCAGCCAGGTGTACAGCCGCACTCATTAGACCGGCCTGAGATACTGGCTTCGCATCTACCTCGTTCAACCAATTCGATCACGAAAACATGAATATGCGGCATGGCTGCGCCAGACGGTGTGATCTCGTCCACGTGCAGACAATGGCGAGGCTGCAATATCCTACCGGCAGGAGACTTCCTTGTTGGCGAGCAGCCTCCACCGCCGTACCACACCACCATCATGTTTCTCCCGTAAGTGAATGGCGCGATAACTCAGACAGCGTCTCGATCTTTTGTTCATGACTGCCTCTGTTTATGTGCTGATTTGGAGCGAGGTCCATCTAGAATCCGTCTGAAAGCTTTCTTCAAGGAAATGCTGCAGACTACTTCGATAATATGTATGCACAGTGGAAGACAACCCCTGACGCCGTCGACAAATCATGGCAGATGTACTTTCGAAACTTGGAGGCTCGCACGGTAAGAGTGCAGTCGCCAGGGTTCCCGTCCACCTCTACTTCTGCACAAGATCTCGGCGACCGGACCATAGCAGACGTCGGCACGTACATAAATGTGAAAAGCCTCGTTCGGGCATACGAGACCCTTGGACATCTCAAGGCCGACATTGACCCTCTCGGACAACGCCATTACTGGACTCCTGCGCCAGAAGTTCCGGATGAGCTCGAGGTGCAGTCCCACAAGCTCAAGGAAAAAGACTTGGGAGTGGAAATCGACGTGCGTTCGGCAGGAATTCTCCCGTATTTCACGCAGAGCACACGGTCCAGTATGCCGGTTCGGAATATCATTGCAGCTTGCGAACAAATATACTGTGGTACTGTGGCAGTAGAATTTGCTCACATTCCCAATGCTCAACAGCGCGATTGGATTCGCCAGCGGACTGAGACACGCCACACAATTCGGTATTCAGACGGGGAGATGAAGCTGATTTTGGATCGTCTTCTTCGGGCCACACTTTTCGAAACATTTCTGGCGACAAAATATCCAAATCGGAAGCGATACGGCTTGGATGGGAGCGAGACCTTGGTGCCCGGAATCCAAGCATTGGTGGACACGTCGGTTGAGCGCCACGGGGTGGAGAACTTGATCATCGGGTCACAGCACCGTGGTCGCCTAAACCTGATGGGACACCTCATGCAAAGGCCAATGGAAGTCACCTTCTACGATTTCATTTCAGAGGGGAAGCCCCATGACAGCAGTCTTGATGGTGACGTCCTGACGCACTTGGGAGGGGACTGCGAACGTGAATATCCATCGGGAAGAATCGCTCGGATGTCTCTCTTGCCCAATCCATCTCACCTGGAGGCTACGAACCCGGTTGCGGCTGGCAAGGCCAAGGCGATCCAGCATGACCAAGGGGACATGGAACAATCCAAATCGCTCTTCCTCAACATTCATGGCGATGCTGCCATTGCGGGTCAAGGTATTGTGTATGAAACAATGACTCTTTCAAAGATCCCCTCGTTCTCGGTAGGAGGAACAATCCATGTGATCTTGAATAACCAGGTTGGGTTCACTACAGATCCCCAGAGCTCAAGATCCACTACATACTGCTCCGACCTGGCCAAGACGATAAATGCGCCCATAATACACGTCAACGGCGATGATGTGGAGGCTGTGGTATTTGCCTGCAAACTTGCGGCAGATTGGAGAGCTCAATTCAAAACGGATGTCTTTGTGGACCTCGTCTGCTACCGGAAATATGGGCACAATGAGATAGACCAGCCAAAGCTCACTCAGCCTTTCATGTACGACAAGATTGCGCACAAGCTTCCGGCAGTCGACACTTACATCCAAAAGCTGATTCGAGACAAAGTCTTGTCGAAGGAGGAGATCCAGGAACGCAAAGCCCAGATCTGGGAAACCTTGTCGCATCAGCACGAATTGAGCAAGGACTTCCAGCCAGACAAGGTTGTCGCTGCCTCCGCATCTGGTGATAACGAGGCCGCATCAGCACAAACACAGATTTCAGCCCAGACGAGGATGGTCTTCGATTCGGAGCAACTGAAAATGGTCGTGGACAAGAGCATCACGGTGCCCGAGAACTTCACCCTGCATTCCACTGTCAAAAGAGTCTTTGATGCTCGACAAAAGTCGGTGTCGGAAGGCGAAGTCGACTGGCCCACCGCAGAAGCTCTGGCCTTTGGCACACTCTGCCTGGAGGGCCATCGTGTCAGAATCTCTGGGGAAGACGTTGAAAGAGGAACATTCTCTCAGAGGCATGCTGTGGTTCACAACCAGCTTTGGAAACCCGGTGATGATTGTGCGGATGCACGGAGATGGACGCCACTCGACCATCTCAGCCCAGACCAGGCGAGATTTCACGCCTGTAACTCACCCTTGAGCGAGTTCGGGGTGCTAGGCTTTGAGTACGGATACTCTCTTGGCTCACCTGACAGCCTGGTGATGTGGGAAGCTCAATTTGGCGACTTCGCGAACAATGCCCAGGTAGTTATCGATCAGTTCATCGCTGGAGGAGCCACCAAATGGGGTCAGCACTCGGGGCTCGTCCTATCCCTGCCGCATGGCTATGATGGACAAGGACCGGAGCATTCGTCGGCCCGCATTGAAAGGTTTCTGCAGCTGTGCAACGATGATCCTCGTTCATACCCATCGACTGAGCAGGTGGAGCAGAACCTCGAGCGAGGCTGCAATATGCGAGTCGCTTATCCCACCACGCCTGCAAACCTGTTTCATCTTCTCAGGCAGCAGATCCATGGACACTCCAGGAAACGTGAGTCGTTCACCCCGTTCCTCGCCTGTCGATTTTTTATTTTTTTTATTTTTTATTTTTTATTTTTTATTTTTTTTTTTTTGCCGTATATTGGCTAACGAACTGTGAGAGATTTCCAACGCTCGTCATGTTCTTCTCCAAGTCTCTCCTCAGGCATCCGTTCACTCGATCCCCAATTGAAGACTTTGTGGGCGAGTCCCGTTTTCGGTCAGTCATACATGACTCGGTCAGCCCAGCGGCGGTCCGCAGCATCATTCTCTGCTCTGGTCAAATCTACGCTGCTCTTCAGAAGTATCGCATGCAGAGTCAGGTCGATGATGATGTGGCCTTGGTCCGATTAGAGAAGCTTCATCCTTTCCCTTGGTCAGCAGTGACGACGATGCTGGACACGTACCATGGTGCAGACGATGTAATCTGGTGTCAGGAGGAGCCCATGAACGGTGGAGCGTGGTCATACGTGCAGCCCAGGCTTCAAGCAGCTCTGGCGCACTCAAAGCATCACCGGCAGCTCGTATGTAGATATGTGGGGAGGGATCCAAGCGCCAGCACCGCCGTAGGCAGCAAGTCGGTCCACGAGGTGCAGGCACAGAAGTTGCTCCAGAATGCCTTCGCCCCAGCACATAAAGACATACGCTGTCACATATGATCTGAGGACTGTGCGGACGACTTCAGAGGCGTAGGTGGCCGAAAGGGTGTGGTCGGGAAACACATTAGCTTGACACGATCAATCAGTTGAGTGGTATCAATCTGAAGGACCGTCTCCAATGTATCGAGCACGTATTTCCTCCGCTCCGCTATTCCAAGAACACCATCGATTACTTTTTGACGCACCTTGTTTTCCCAAAAGAGATGAGAGGATTCCCACACAAGTTGTCCGCTTCCGGCTGGGACATCGGCCAGATCAAAACGCTTACGACAAGTAGCTTTAGCGGGACAAGTGACTCTCGGACGACTCTCCCTCTCAGCGTGGCGCATCTCGATCTCCTAGAGCAGAAGCACACGAACGCATTAGTCTTAGAGCGCCTCCTTCGACCTGAAAATTCCGTCTAGCTTATGCCATCTAGGGCGGAGGCCGGGGGGTCGACGGCGAAATGCTTATTGAATTTGGTGACAGAGATAGCCTCACCCGCGCGTAAGTAATTCTGGATGTCGGGGCCCAGATCCTGGAACTCAGCAACGTTGAAGTTGCACGGGAGTGGCTCAGGGGAGTGCGGGATCACGAACAGGTTCAGGCCGTTGTGTTCTTCAACGAAGACGATGAACTTTCCGTCCTAGACCGGAAGGGACGAATTAAGCCTCTTCAAATTTCGCCTTCTGCCGCCTAACTCAATGTATGTGTCGTCTTCCTTAATGAGGCCCATACAAGAGGAACCGACATAAGACTACTAGAATACTACAAAGCCGCCGTGACTTTAGGAGTAAACTTAACGAAAGATAGATTGGTTCAGGTGAGTTTGCAGACTTATCGCTATAGGTACGACTGACCTCCCTACAGCGTATATAAGAATGAGAAAATTAGGGTAAGGACAGTCGGTTATCTTCTACGTTTCCGAAGAGATCTAAAGGAAGGTTCTAGCACGAAAACCACTCTCCTCGAACACAAGCACTGGCGTAGGCGTCGCCGACATTCTCTACTGGGCCATCACGGAAACCTGGATCGACGTTCGGCGGAGCATACCTTTGTGGGCTGTACAGGGACGGCGGTTTGAACACCAACATCAGCTGTAAGCTGATGCTTACATTGAAGGGGAGTTGATTGGGTCCAAAACTTGGGCCAGAAAGTTCCTTGAAAACGAATCACAGTCTCTGGAACACAGGTATCGACCCGGTATGCTCACAAATACAACATCCTCGACGCAGGCCGACCAAATACGGCAATACAGCGCATTACAAACCGCTGCCTACTGTTCGATGACCTTGAATACAGCACCGCCACCCTACAAGAGGAACAGGAGCGTGAATTGTTGCCGGAGATTGTGCAAGAACGAGAGGCGTAAAGGCCCGAGCCTGCAGAGCCCGCGAAGCATCTAACACTTCGCAAGGGTCTGATCTTGCCGCCCATGGCGATGGCCTCATTGATACCGCGATAGCTATGGTCGCACTCCCTGATGAAATTCTACACCGACCAAGATATCACGCATCTCCTCAATCACACCTCCAACTCCTTCAATCATGTCGTCCTGTTATAGCGAAATTGTCCGAAGATGCTCGAAAGAATTGGATTCTTGGTATGAGACAAAGATTGTTACGCAGTCGGACAACGCTCACTACATTTACTGACGCACACGTCCTTTACACACTGACATCTATGCATACCTGTCAGCCTTGTGTCGTTGGTATGTCAAGCTAAGCCCTTTTTGGGAGGGGGGATGACTGTTGCCGCCTTGTGCGAAACCTCAGCCTTAGAAAGCCTCAGCCTCGCGAAACTTGGTTCTGGCGGGGCTTTCACTCTTCCATTTAGGCATTATATCCTGCTTTAGACTGTGCATTCTGTCCGGCTACACTGTCCCTTCACCTCGTTTATTTTATATCTTCCTCCCCTGCCCATTCTTGAAGATCTCCTCAAAGACCTCGTCGTCCTGTGCGTGGCTATTTCCCTCGGCCAGGGTATTGCACAGCTGAAAACTGCACGCCAACGCATCCTTCTCAATCTCCCGATAGTTCCCGTTCTCTATGTATATCACCTGGCCGTTGCGGGCTTCGTCCGCGGCGAGCAAGCCCACCGCCCGCGCCACGGCGCTCGGGTCCTGGAATTTGACACCGATGCTCTCCAGCCACTGGGCATCGAGGAGATTGGTCCGCGTCCAGTTCGGAGCGATGCTGTTGAGGCGGATCTTGTCCAGCTTGCGTACGCGGAGCTGGGGGAGGACGCCTCTTTGGAATCCCAGCACGCTGTGTTTGGAAGTCGCTGGGGAAATCGAGGTCAGCCTGGCATCCTGATGATGGAGGCATAGTTTGCATGGACTTACTATAGTCGGTCGCTCCAAAGGTCATGTAACCTGTCAATTCACTGTTAGCCCCCCGGAGCCGCTGTTATATCAGGAGAGTGTTGGCACTTGCTTGTCGCCGAGGCTGTGAGGATGATGCTCCCGCCAGTTTCTTGCCGTGCCATGTGCCATATGGCCAGAGTGACGGTGTTGATCAACCCAATCACATTGATTTCATAGCACAGCCGAGATGGCTCCTTCGGTTGCCCCAGGTCATCCACTTGAAGGTCGAAATAATCTGCGATTGTGGCGACTCCTATATAATGACATGTCAGTTGCCTTTTCGTCCACTTCACCTGGGCTTGTCTTGCCCACTGCGTCCCCGCATCAAGCCTCGAGGACTCTGATAGGGCTCACCAGCATTCGCAAATGTGACATCCACACGGCCAAACCTCTTCACAGTCTCCTGGAACAGATTCCGGAGGTCCTCCCACTTGGTGACATCAGTCTTGATGAACGTCGTGTTGGGGTATTCGTCGGCGGGCGGCTTGAGATCCGCATTCACCACCGTCGCGCCATTCTCCACAAAGAGCTTGAGTGTCTCCAGGCCAATTCCCGATGAAGAACCTATACATGGTCAACGGTGAGCATTCCAGGTAATGTATGTGACTAAGCCCTAGCCTGGAGCTTTATACCTGTCAAGACGGCAACTTTTCCCTTGAGCGCCTTCAATTGATTTTCGTCGATCTGGAATGTAGACATTGGGAGTTGGAATTTTTGTAACTATTCGCGCAAACTGTACAATGAGATACTCTGGCAACCCCTTTAATGGGTATTTTTTGGGCTCGTTTGATATATATTTGAACAGACTTGCCAACGTGACTTGCAGTATAACCGTTTACATTTCCATGGCTTCACTGCGACTCCTTTTCCATAGACCCGGGGCCCATGTAGGTCACCGGCTATTACCGTTAGTGTCTCGAAACCGGCCAAAGGGCCTTTGCCGACTTGTGCCGCCTTGTTTATGCAACCGGTTTTTTTTTAATGTGACACCCACTGTGCAGAGATTTCGTTACCAACAAACTAACCGTGGAATCAAGAGTTACGTACGAAAGGACTTTAGAGGGACCACCTGGAGGATTGGGACATTTGTCAGTTTCGTTGTCAGTGGAGAGAGGGTCACACTCGGTGCGGTGTCTCCCTTTGCGTTTGATGATGATGTCCGCATGGCATGGAGAGAGACTGACACTGCCATCGATGATCCCCTCAGTATAAATCCGAAGCGGCCTCAAAATTCACGCAAAAGGACAAGAACACGCCGACGTTGTTACTGTCACTGTCACCAGACCGCCATAACAGCAATGCCGACGCCATTGAAGAAGCTCAAACTGTACTCCACGGCCGGTGGCCCGAAGTAAGTCGACTTTCCCACCCATATCGAACAACAACAACACCTGTCCGGCGTTTTGTTTGCTGACAGGCAATGGAAAAAAAAAAAAAGTCCCTACAAAGTCGCCATCATCCTCGAGGAGTTGGGATTACCATACGAGACGGAGCTTCTGGACGTGACGGACGTGAAGAAGAAGCCCTTTACCGACCTCAACCCCAACGGGCGGGTGCCGGCGCTGACGGACCCGAATACTAACGATGGCGACGGTTTGACGCTCTGGGAGTCGGGCGCCATCATCCAGTACCTCGTCGAGACGTACGACACTTCTGGAAAAATCACGTATCACTCTTCGCCCGAGAAGTTCCTGCTCACCCAGTGGCTGCACTTCCAGGTGTCGGGCCAGGGCCCCTACTACGGCCAGTGCGCCTGGTTCACGCACTACCACCACGAGACGCTGCCGAGCGCGCAGGATCGCTACCTCAGGGAGGTCGAGCGGGTCATCGCCGTGCTGGACGGCTGGCTGCGCACGCACGCCTTCCTCGTCGGCGACAAGTGCACCTACGCCGACCTGAGCTTTGTGACCTGGGCGGTCCTCGTGCCCTGGCTGGACAAGGACAAGAAGATCCCAATGTCCCAGTACAGTGCGTATAACGCGTGGCTGGAGAAGCTTGTCGCGAGGCCCGCGGTGCGAGGAGTTTTGGATCTGCTGGAAGAACGGAGGAAGAAGCTTCTGGGATAGATGCGCAGGAGTCATTCATTCCATATACGCATGGCTATGGACTAGGCATAACTTCCATTAGATTGCATTGCATTGATGTATCGACTTCTACAGCTTCAGAGCTACTGAATACCACTTAACTATCTCGTCACTATTGCCATCAGGATCCAGCACCGCTCTAGCATAGCTGCGATCGAATAGTTTCTGTGACACATTGGAGGTAGATTTAGGATCTCTATATACGGAGTTCGGAGTGGTGTGTGGCCAGTCCGAGTCCGACAGGTACGGCCGCAAGAGTCAAGCTTTTCCTCCCTCCGCGTTTCGATCTGGTGGGGAAGCGTGAACTGCTTTGACTGGCGAAGTCGCCATTGATCTTTCTGGCCTGGTGTTCCTTGGGGGTTTTGTGGCTGGCCGCATTAGGATGGTAGTCTGGATAGTCTTCGATCACGGCAAAGCACGGTGCTCAGCAGGCCTGGATCAACAACCATCGACAACCCCTTTTGGATGCTAACACTATCAGAGTGTCCAATCATCATAAATCATTCTGCCTTACGTACGTAACTCCCAGGAATACTCCACGTGTCTGGAGAGCTGGGACCGTGTTCCCCACGACCCCAGATCCCCGGGAAAGTTGTCTTGTCTCTCGACCGCTAAGAAAGACACTTAGCCAGCCTGGTGTGGTAAGGTGATATCCCAGCGATGAACTATAGCTTCACACCTGGCGTACTGACCTCGTACTGCCCGGCCATGCCACGGTCGTTCTCGAGGCCGTCATCCGAGGTGTTCATCTGGAGCGAAATTGTAAAGGGTGTATATATGAACAGTCGAGACTCAAGATGCTGAAGTCGCAAGGCATATTGGTTGGTAAATCGACAGAGCTCGTCTTCATTATACCACTGTGCAAGACAATGTCCTCAACCATGGACTCGCAGGGCATCAAAGTCCCCTTCAATTGGCTCAACTTCTGGACATGTATGGCCTTGAGCTTTGGCATGTTTGTGAATGGCTACCTCTCAGGGGTCATTGGCACCACCTTGGCCGACCCAGGCTTCGTCGTGTACATGGGGTTGGTCGACAGGGATGGTAATCCCACTGACAATTCTGAAGCCTTGATCGGTGCCTCGACGGGCATATTCCAGGTAAGTAGGCACACTTCGCCCAAAAGCCATTTTACTCAACCATCACTAGGCTGGCGGGTTCGTTGGCGTGCTCATCGGCAGCTGGCTGCTTGATCGTTTCGGACGGAAGAGAACCGCCATCATCGTGGCAGCATTGTGCGCCATATTCCAAGCCATCACTGCAGCCTCGCAGAACGTTGGTATGTTTATAGCACTGAGGTTCTTTGTGGGTGCTGCTGCCTTCATGGAGATGTCTATCAGTACGTGTCACCCCCTGCTGTTCAATGAGCACGACCTTGATACTGACACCTCGCAACAGCGCCTGTCTACGTTGCTGAACTGGCTCCGACAAAGACTCGCGGCCTGACCGTGGGCATCACTGGCGTTTGGGTAGCAGTTGGATACGCCGTAGCTGCGTATTTCGGCGCTGCATTCTTCAATCTGGGAGAAACCATCCAGTGGCGTCTCCCGCTCGCGCTCGGCGCTGCCTGGCCACTGATCCTGCTCCCTGCGTTGCTTATCATCCCAGAGTCGCCAAGATACCTGTTGATGAAAGACCGATCCGAAGAAGCCCTCGCCGTTGTCTTGAAGCAGCATGCAGCACCGGGCCATGAAGACGACGCTCGGGCAGAGTTTTTCCAGATGCAACAACAGGCCGAGCTCGACTGCACCCTCGATGCTTCCTGGGTCGGATTTCTCAAACACAAAACACACCGGCGACGAGGGGGATTGGTGCTCATTCTTGGCTTCCTGGCACAGACGTCGGGAAATCTTGTCGTCAATAACTATGTATGACTCCTTGACTCGGCCACTTGAGTGTGTGTTCAGGGCTGATATCGTTTGT